TCTCTGTCTCTCATGAATAAATAAATAAAATCTTTAAAAAAAAAAAAAAAGAATTCCTCATATCAGTGTTCACATCTTCTATATCTTGACTAATTTTTTTGTCTGTCTCACCTATCAGTAATTGCTGAAATATCTCACTATCATAGTAGAGTTTTTCAGTTTCTATCTATAGATCTCTCCATTTTGGCTTTATATATTTGAAGCTGTCTAATTAGGTGCCTAGAAATACCTGGTCACCATTTCTATCCTTACTGATACTTTCTATTTAAAACCTATTTATCTAATATTAATGTACCTATCCCAACTTTATTTTAGTATCTGCCAGCATGTCTTCTTCCATCCTTTTATTTCCAACCATTCTGTGCTTGTATGCATCAGAATTTTTTAAGCTGAGTTTTTCATTTTTTAATGCACTGTGATGATCACTGTTTTTTAATGGACAAGGTTAGTCCATTAATATTTATTGTGATGATTTCTTTCATCTTTTTAATTTATATTTATTCCATTTTTTTATAGATTTTCTTGTTCATTTTTTGTTCCATTTTTTCCCCTGGTAGTCTAGAATTTCAGCACTCTATTTCTGTTTTTAGGTGGTTACCTTGAAATTTTATCCTGCGTATTTAACATCATGTATACTAAAGTGAAACAGTATCTTAACCCCACTCCCAAAGAATACAAAGACATTGGAACACTAAATCTGATCACACTCCTCACTTACATATCATTCTTGCCCAGTATTTGAGTTCTGTCCTGTTCTAAATTCACAAATTTGAAATTACTATTAAAATATGACCATTTTTGCTTGGATTTACATAAATGTTTATGATTTTATTTACTCACCATTCCTTCTATCTTATTTTATTTCTGGTATAGTTAACATACAAGTGTTTGGTATATTAGTTTCAGGTATAAACTCACTATACCTTCTTAAATCTCAGACAATCCTTTGGGGAGCATTTTCCTTCTTCCTAAAGTACATCCTTAGAAGTTCCTTTAGTGCTAGTCTCCTGCTGATAAACTCTCAGGTGGTATTTATCTGCAGGTATTTTATTTCAGCCTCAATCTTGAAGATTAGTTTTGCTGAGAGCACAATTTTAGGCTAATGGTTACCATTCTGTTGTATTTTGGCATCCATTGTTTGACATTGGGAAGTCTGATGTCACTACAATTGTTCTTGCTTTGTAGGTGATCTCTCCTTTCTCTCTGGTTGTTTTAAGAACTTTGTCTTTAAGGGGGGGGAAAGATCTTTGTCTTTAGATGTTCTATAGTTTTACTACCTTCCAGCATGGCTTTCTCTTTATTTATCCTGTTTAGGATACATTATTCTTCCTGGATCTGCATAATCATGTTTCCATCAGTTCAGTAAAGTTTACAACCATCATTTCTTCAAATATTGCCTCTTCTGCATTTTCCATATTCTCTCCTTCTGAACTCCACTAGACATGTGTTAGACATTCCCTCTGTATCTCTTAATTTTTTTCCTATTTTCTTTATTTCTTGTTTCCTATTTTCCCTCATTTCTCTGGCCTGCATTCTAGGTAATTTATTTAGTTATATCTTCCAGTTCACTGAAACTCTCTTCAGCCATATCTGAATTCCTGTTTAACTCATCCATTCACTGGTTTACATTACCAGTTATATTTTTCTTTTCTAGAAGTACTAGTCACTTGTTCTTACTTTTATTTTCAAATCTATCTATTCACATCTGATAGTCTCTTGTTGCATGCTCATCCTTTCAATTAGGTCCTTTTTTTTTTTTTTCTAATATTTAACATGTAGCTTTTTTATATTCTGTATCTGATCATTCTAGTATCTGTCCTCCTTGACGATTTAAATCTGTTTTTTCTGTTTCTGATGACTCACATAGTAGTTTGCCTTATTGTATGTTTGGTGACCTTTGATTGTGAGCTTATTGTTTGTCCTAATTAGTGGAAGTCCTGTGGGCCTAAACTGGGTACACTTTCCTCCAGAGGGAGTTTGTTGCCTCTTCTGCTAGTTACGGTGGAATGCCACCAATCTGGATCTTGCCTCCCTCCAGATTCCTGGGGTCAACTTCTGTCCCTTGCTGTTGGCCCAAGGCTCAGAATCCAGCTAGCAGGCAGTGCTACTGTGGCATCCACCCTTTCCACTGTTTCATTCCACCCTTAGTTTGCCACCACTCTGGAGCCAGCTCACAGGTTTTTGTGTGGAGCAGATAGTAGGGATGGAAGTAGGAAGTGCTCTTAGAATTCGTCCTCCTTTTGTGAGACCAGTAACACTTCAAGAGGTGTACCCTAGGTGAGATACAGTTGTGAGAACGTCTTCCAGTGACTAACCAGCCACACTGGAAGCAAAAGTCCCCAGATTTTTATTTTATTATGTTAATTTTCAAACATGAGTAGAGAGAATAGTGCAGTGAGTTCAAGTAGAGAAAAGTGGAAAGAAGAGTGCCACGATCACCCGCGTACCCATTACCCACTAGAGTCACTGTTAATTCATGGCCACACCAGTGTCATCTGTATCTTCCCCTACTGTCCACCCCCCTGGATTATCTTGAAGCAAATCTCAGGGGTCTTATTTTCTTTATGTGCATTTTAGTATGTACCTCTAAAAGATGCTGTGAGCTTTTCGTAACGATGTCCAGCCAGTATGTAAGCATAAGCACAATTTATAAATAAGTAAAATTACACATAACTCCCTATTTAAGCATTGGTTCTTGGTCACTCTTCCCAATTGAAGTATTAGAGGACCCTGAAATGCCTACCAAATTATTATAAAAGGACTGTGTTTGGTCTAATGTGAGTTTAGTGTTATACAGGTATTATCACAATTCTCTGTATCACATTTGGTAGATAATCGTGATGAGAATGGTAGAAAATGATAACAGACGCTTCAGTGGTACTTTACTAAGTGCCATGAACACTTCTGATTCTTTTATGTGTATTAAACTAACTTAATCCTCAAGGCAAACATATGAAATAGGTACTATTTTCATCTCCATTTTGTAAATGTTGAAAACTGAGACATGGAAAATTTTGGTAACCTACCCACGATCTTAAAGCTGGTAAGGGATGTAGCTGAAATTTGCCCCCAGACAGTCTAGATCTAGAAACTGTCATTTTAAACCATGATACACAGTGCCTCTCTCAGAGAAATAAGCAGATTTCCACAGCCATCTTTCGAAAGTGTGTCTTCCATAAGTAGATGTATCTGTTTTGGTGAGTTTACCACATGAGCCAAATCTGTACCTGTTTCTGAAACACTGGCCTTCAATAGTTAGCTTAATTTTTTTAATTACTTACATTGCTGCCTTTGGATTTTGTTATAAATGATACATATATCATTTCGTGTTTATAATTGTGTCATTTCTTTAGGCACACTTCACGTCGGTGATGAGATTCGAGAAATTAATGGCATCAGTGTGGCTAACCAAACAGTGGAACAGCTGCAGAAAATGCTTGTGAGTACATGCAGGTTTCTCTGTCTTTGTTCCAGGATTGACTTTCAGTTTGTTAGCTTGTTTTTTAATGCACGAATAAGCGGTATTCTTTTGTAATCAGAGTATTTCTGATCCCACCGTTGGTGTGGACTTGAATTTCTACAACATTCATAAGAAGTGACAACTGGGAAACTGTTTACATGCAACAGAGCTTGGAAACTCTTGCCCATCGAGCAGCATGGGCTTCAACGCTCTCCTTTCCTCCTTGATCTCCTGTTTCTTACTGAGCAAATGTGTGAAGATAACCTTTCCAGTTGTGCGTATATGTGAACTAGTCTCTCACCGACCTCCATCCTGCTGACATCAGCAACGTCAGGAGCCGTGTTCCTGTTTAGCTGAGTCATAGCCAGCTGCATTGGATCTCTCTGCAGCACAGAGGGAAGGAAAGACAGAGTAGACCCGGCTGTTTCTGACCATACACATCCAAAATCTGTGTTCACAATTGGCCTTGCATTAAAAAAGCAGGCTGGTGGCCCCTGGCCTGTGCTCACTGCCGTCCGGAGCAGAGGCAGATGTCTGGGACCTCTGGTCCTGGGCCGTCTTCTAACTACAACACAGCGGCCTCCCAAGCCATGGCTATCTCTTAGGTGTGAAATAAGCACACAGACTCATGACAGCAAAAACTTTGAGGCCAACGTTGTGAAAGAGAAAGCAAATTGAACGGAGTACACCATCACCATGCAGCAGACCAAATATCATTTTCATGTAATTACTTACTCTGTTGTCTGGCTCAATCCATGCTCGCTTTTGAAAGGCACTTAGAGGTTTCTGCATGTGTGTCTATAAAAAGGGAACCGCCAGAGGTCTGTTCCACCGCTGCTGCACGAACCAGGCAATCGGCCTTGACTTTGCAGGGTTTCTCCCGAGAACAGTGTCTATTCCTGTGAGCAGCCCCTACATTCTATGTCCATTTCGTTTTAGGCCCCTGCGTGCTCAGCTGGCTTGCATTAATTACCCCCCCCCCACACACACACACACGTTTCGAGTGGTTTCTCACGCATCTTTGTGTGCAACATTTGTGTGTTAAGAGAGCTCTCCTTTCTTCTGCCTCCAGCGGGAAATGCGGGGGAGTATCACCTTCAAGATCGTGCCAAGTTACCGCACTCAGTCATCGTCCTGTGAGGTAATGGCTCTTGCACAACCCCCCCCCCGCCACCCCTGTCTCCTCTGGGTTCTTAACTAACTGTCTGCTGATGGCTGAATGTTTTGGCTTTCTGGGAAGTTGTTTCTGCCTGTGCTGTTGATCACTGCACACCAATTTTACAACAAAGATAACGGAACAGAGTAGGTTCCATTCACCTACTCAGCCCTGCTTCCATGGGCATCTCCTCAGCACTTTAACTACCTGCAGGCTGGGATCGCAGCAAAATCTAGAGGGGCTCCAAGTAATGACAGAAGGCTTAGTAAGAACAAATGGTGTCTCTGAGGAAAAAAAGAAAGATAATTGCAATAATATTTCCAGGAAGTACATTCACTTCCCTTATTAAGAAATCACACATAGTTCTTCTTTCCAAGAATTTGAGAAGTGATCTATTTCTGTTAAGATTGGGGTGTTAAAAAAAAAAAAACTGTGAGAAGTCCCTGGACAGATGTTAAGTCCATGAGGAGTTGATAACTGACTTTCTGAGAGGATAGAAGCTTTTGCAACCTTCTGTGAAATTGTTTCAATTTGGAACACTATGTGATTCATAAGCAAGTAAGTTTCCTAGGGTAATACAACCCCAAAGTTTCTTTCTCAGGTAGGTGTATCCTATAGAAATTGTAGCTCTCCACCCTAATAGTATTAATATTCAGTTTCATGTCAGTTATTAAATGAGATTCCAAAATCTATTCTTTTTATATCTGGAAATACAGACTGGCATGAAGGGTCTGTCATCTTTCGGTCATTGCACATTCAGCTTGAGCATAATTATTTGAAGCTTGTTCTTTTTGTATGCATCTTCCAAGTCTGTGTACATCAGTGTGAAGTACACACTTCCTACAGTTAATTTTCGAGACTGACAAGTAACTTATTGGAACTCATCTAGAAAATTGAATTTGTACTCAGGAGAAGTCGAGGGAGAAATTACGATGCCTCTTCCAGGCCCCAGGAATGCTGTAGATCTCATAAGCAAACTCAAGAGGCTTTATGTTTTGTTCTCTAAACCTGTCGAAGATACGTCTAAGAATTTGTAGTTTGGTCAAGGATATTTTTTAGTGCACCATGACAGTTGGGGTTTCTGTTCTATCAGGTTTTGAGCTCCTCTTGGTGGCTTTCTATGGAACTTCAATTAATAACTATATTTTAAAAGAAAATGCAGAGCTACTTCTGCTCCAGGAGTCACAGTTTTGAAATTTGTAACCTAGAACACAAACCTTCCGGGGAAGAGAGAACGTCATATACACACCTCTCATGTGAAGCATTCTATTATTCTAAAATCATACGTGGTCTTCATACCATTTCTCAGCATTGAAGACATTTAGTGAATACAATTGATCTGTGTCTTTTTAGCTAACTAGGGGATATTATTAGTTATTAATATACAAGTTTCTCTTGTGTTTTTTAAGTGGTGGAACTGGTTTTAGGGTGGGACCAGTATTACACATGTAAATTCTGCACTTGAGTCAGAAGAGCCCCCCCCTTGCCTTCTTTATCTCTGAAGAGTAGAAAAAATGATACTCCCCTCCTAGCCCTACCCCCAACTTGTTTGACCCTCCGGTGCTCTGGCAGAATTCAAGCCTGTGGTTGGACTCTTCCCAGCTAGGGTAGTACTTCCCAAAGAAGGGCCGCTGGCCACCCATATCAGCATCCCCCGGGCAAGAGACGGGAGACCCCTGCCCTCACGCTGGCCCTGCTGACTTGAGTCTCTGAGGGTGGCACCTAGAAACCAATCCGCTCATGAGCATTAGAGAATGCTCGTCTAAGGGAGCCCATTATTCAAAAAGCTAAAAAGCTCCAGAAGTTTTCTGTCTGTCTTCTAGAAAAAAACAAGTGTCTTTTGAGCAGACATGTACATCTCAAAGGTTTCAAAGAACTCCACTAAACCAGAAATGCTACAGTGCATATTTTCTTCCTCTCCTTGTGCTCGTCGTTAAAGCTGATTTGGACAATAAGGGAATGGAGCCCAGAAAGGATTGCAAGTGTCTCACACAGTCTAGAGAGTGTGACCGAGGACCACGGATCTAGGGAGAGTGGCTATGCCTCCTGGGACCTTTGCCAGAAGTGTAATATTTTTAGAGGCTCAAGGTTATTGTTTTAATCAGTCTCCTAAAATGATCTAAAGAATAAAGGTTTCTTCTCTGGTGGATGTCTATCTTTTACCCTCATTAGTAATATTTGTCCTGGAAAGACTCCAAGGTGATTACAACATGAGAAGTCTTTTTCTTTTTCTTTTTTTTTTTTTAGATTTGTTTCACTTCAAATGAGTCATTCAGTAATTTTTAACACTGAGGTACTTAAAAACTATTAAGTACTTTTCAAACCTAATTTTGAATAAAAAATTAGGCAGCTGGGATCTTCAGCACAAGAAGTGTATAGTAATATTTGTCATTTTACAGTCCTTGATAGGATTTTAATATCAATTCCCTCTTCTGGGTCTCACTTAAAGTCAACCAAGGTTATAGAGTGTTGGAGACAGGAAAGAAATTCTCATGAATGACACGATCATCGCGTACAATAGGTGAATCCTCCAACTGCAAACGTTTTTTCATACTTCCGTGAAAGCATGCAAGTAAGTCAGTATAGCGCCTTTGCAGCTAAGAAACCAAACCCCAGAGGAAACGGTTGTCAGATTGTGGTTGCAACTGTTGATGTGAATATCTCTGTCTGTGCCGCTGTGTTCTGTGTTAATGAACCTTGTGTCTTATTTCAGAGAGAGTCCCCCTCCACTTCCAGGCAGTCCCCAGCTAATGGTCATAGCAGCACTAACAATTCTGTTTCGGTAAGAACTCTAGCTCCACACAGCAAAGTGTGGCAATTCTGTTGGGGCCACCCGCCATGAGTGTTCTAGTTACATGTGTTCAGTGCAAATACTGTCTTCTGCCCACATACAAGGCTACTACAGCTACAATGCAGTTTACTCCTGGAAAATCTTTTCAACATTTTCTTCTCGTGAAAAAAAAAAAAAAAATCCCTTTGATTAGTTAAATTGGAAGAACTGGAGTTCGAGATCGCTTTGGTCACGCTCAAAATATTTCCGTGTCACCCCACTTAGCATCTCTGACTTGGCTCAGACTTAACGCAAAGGATATATGAAGTGACAATTTGTTGAAATTTCTAAATTTTTTTTTTAATTGGAGAAAGATGAAGAAACAGAAGGATTTTGCAGAGTAGGCATCTGGGTATTCTCGGGCTTTGTAGTTGTCTATTCTGAGTGATATCAGCAACCTGTTTTAGTTTCCGCTATCTACGTTACGAATTGGTGTGCCCTCTGTTATTGTGGTCCGTGCACATATTTTTGTGAATTATAAGCCTTGCCTGGATATGAAAAGCAAAAGGAACTGGCTTCCAACTGCACTTAAGCCACGCTGTTATCACATCTTTAACACAAAGTACTTGATATTTTGACTTGAACTTGGAATGTTACCGTTTTTTTTTTTCAGAACTATTCATTTTGGAATATGAAAAAAATTGTTTTTCATTTACTTAAATGGAAGCACTTAAGGTGCAAGCGTCTGATCTTTCGGGGTAACAAAATCTTAAGTTGCTGATATTGCTGTTGAAACGTACCGCGAGTTTCACTAAATGCAGCAATATCGCTCGTTTGCTATCCACGTGCCCTTTAAAAACACATCAACTGCCTTTAATCAGATAAAGTTGTCAATAATTTAGAGATCATCTCGAACGGAATGATATCAGTAAGAGAAATTATGGAGGAAAATTTCCTAACGACCTTTGTTTTTAACTTCCAAATAGGCTACCAAAGGAATTCATTTATAATAGTTTAACAAGTAATACTTTGAAGATGGTGAAAATCCATATAGCCATTGAATTTCTCAAAACTGAAATGATTGCAGTGACTAAGTTAAAAAGGGCAACAGCTCTTTTAAGTTTGGGGTTTTGTTTTTGTTTCTGGTAGGGCCGTTTCACTCACAGTGGCTTTTGTGTTGAAGATGCTGAGTTGTTTCTTAAGAACACATTTTCTCTCTTGCTTAAACTTACCTGCTTTCCTCAGCTTGCTGCTAAATGGCCTGGGTTTGATTTTTTTCAATAACTCAACACTTCTGAGAAATGGAATAATGTATATGATCTCTTTACAACTGAAATCTAGCTCATTTTTTAACCATATTGTAACAGAACACACAAATTACCTTGTACTCTCGAAAAGTAAATGAAAATTTTTCTCCTGGGTTGGCTTTATTCTACAGGACTTGCCATCAACTACCCAACCAAAAGGACGACAGGTGAATAGATATCCTCTATAGAAACTTCTCTAAACTGAGCTGCTAATAGCCAATCCTTTATTAACCCTTTCCATCCCATAATGTCTGCATTTTGGACCATAACATTTAAGCATTGAGAGCTTGTACCATTTCATTTTAACACATTACACATGACTAATTTTCTATAAGGATTTTTTTCCTCACATCTTTGTAGCTGTGATGGTTATTGTAATTTCAACCTGATAAACTTGTGCTGATGGTTTAAGAATTCAGCCTTCGGGGGGTCTTATGGGCCTGCCTGTGGCGTTGGGGGAAAAAATTGTGAAAGGTTGCAAAACTCCTATAATTCTAAGAATAACTAAAACGTATGTGCTGATGACTATGTTTAAGCAGTAATTTTCTGAAATTTTCAAGGCTTTTTCTTAATTTGTATTTGCATGTGGATCTCTAAAAGCCATTTACAATGAAAACTCAGAACATCCTGGCTTTGCATCCCAATATTCCTCTGTTGGGTCACCCGGGGAAAGTGACATGCTGCCTGCCACCAGCAAGCAGCTTCCAGTTTGCCAAGCACTTTAAGAGTATGCATTTCAGGTGCAAAGGCAGAGATAGGTTAATTTTACAGGCTGGATTTCTGACAAGAAAACTTGAACAGAATAATCACGCACTAATTCCAAAGCCTTCAGGTTGGTTTTACAGTGACTGGAACATTAATACTCAAATTTAATTTCAAGAGGTAGAATTTTTATGGGGAATTTTCTTGGAATTTGGTGTCCAAAGATAATCCGATTTGGGGTTCAGGTGTGCATAAATTGGCACCTGAGAGAATTCACCCATAGTTTATTCTTCAGACTGCATAAGTGATGCAACATTAGATATCTAGCACCTTATTTTAAAGCATTTGGAAACACAGTGATTCATAAAATGCTGCCATATGATAACCCCTTATGTGCTCATCTGTTTCCTTTTATAATATTTACTAATTACATTGACATATCCTAAAACTCAGAGCCTTGAACTCTGCATATCTTGAAGCTCTATGCTGCTTTCACGTGGCAAAGCTAGGATTTAGTCATTTTTCTTCTCTAGGAAGAGTAAAATACAGATACAAAGCCGAAATCCTTCTTAAAAACTTAATAACACGACTGATTTTTTTAAATGCTTTAAAAACTGTGTACATTACGTTTAAGTTTATCAGCAGTGTGTAGCCACACACGGCTGTCTTGTAGGCATTTTACAGCAAGAGACCGACACAGAGTGCTTGCTGCTTTTGTATCACATGCTGCTTTGGGGTTAAAGCCTCCCCTGAGTGTTTGTGTATATGGTGTAAACGCTGCCACGTGATCATGACAACGTGTCCATAACGTCAGCTAAATATATGCAGACTTAAAAATGCTAAGCATACCTCTCTATAATTAGAGACCTAGTCTGTTACAGTAAAAGCAGGTGCTAAGTCTTGATCTTTATTAAACAAGTATCGGCAGCGTTCCCTCCAATTAAGAACAGCAGAGGCTTAAGCCTGCACCCATCAGAGGTCGTCCATTGTTTCTAGTGGTAGCAGTTCTGTGCCCTATCTCCATGCATCATTTGGCTTCACCATCTAATGTCCTGTTCGTATTGTAAGTGTTGGTGTGTGGTTATTACGTTAGAGCTGTTTGCTTTCACATCGCCGAGGCAGCCCTTCTTACAGACTCCTGTTTTATAGATCTATGTAAGAGCACAATTTGAATATGATCCAGCCAAGGATGACCTCATCCCCTGCAAAGAAGCTGGCATTCGATTCAGAGTTGGTGACATTATCCAGATTATTAGTAAGGACGATCACAACTGGTGGCAGGGTAAACTGGAAAACTCCAAAAATGGAACCGCAGGTCTCATTCCTTCTCCTGAACTTCAGGAATGGTATGTTTTTGTTGTTCCGTTTTGTTTTACAATAAAAACAAAGCCCCAACCATCCGTTTGTCAACCTTCCATTGTTCTATTGTGTAAAACCTGTTTGCTCCGCTAGCCCAACAAAGTTCAGATTAGTCATCCAAGAACTCTAAATCCTCAGCATCTTGCAAGTTCCTGCTTAGAGTCAGGTCTTGGTTTTACATAAAAGGAGAAGAAGGTCTAGAGGGAGGTTGAGTGGCTAGCCCTCAGGTCGCAGGTCACGGTCACCTCCTGGTCCCTTAGCACAGCCCCCCACTCCCACATGCTGTTTCAATCCTTTTAGAACTGCGTTTTGTTTTGTTTTAAAGATTTTATTTGAGATAGCTCGTGCGCGAGCACGGGTGGGGGCGGGGAGGGGGGGTGGAGGGAGAGGGAGAAGCAGACTCCCCGCTGAGCAGGGAGCCTGCCCCCCCACCGGGGCTGGATCCCAGGGTCCTGGGATCATGACCTGAGCTGAAGGCAGACACTTAACCGACTGAGCCACCCAGGCATCCCTGTTTTGTTTGTTTTAAAACACCCTCTCCTTGCCCCTCCGCATGCTCTCTCGGTGCTCATTCCACTCCCCACCCTCCACCCCCCCACCAGCAGCGGGGGGGAAAACCTCAAAGGCTATGATTCAGGGTCATTCAGGGTATTTGAAGGTAAAATGGGTTTCCCTGTTAGGAGAAAAAGGCAGCCAGAAGCTTCGTTCTTTACCTTGCGAACTCTTTAAAAATGCCTATTTTGTTAGAAAGTTCAAGCAGTGGAAACAGGTTAAAGTCAGAGAGCTTTTTTTTTTTTTTTTTTTT